TACAAATATTTTTTTTTAAAATTTAATACTAAATTTAAATATAATAAATATAACTAATATTTTAATAACTAATAGTAGAATATGAAAAGCTTTATATGTGTTAAAATTTAATTTGGTTTTTATATGAAAAGGAAAACAAAAAGGTGTATCTCTATCCCTTCTCCTTTATGATTTAATATATATATAACGGAAATTAATAATGAAAGAAAAGAAAAGGATAAAGTAAAATAATTGTATATAATTAGGAGAATAGAAGGACATTGCACATAAAAAAAAAAATCAAAAGACTAAAAAAAATTGTAATCACACAAATACTTATTATGTAATGTATTACAATCTTATACATTTATTTTTCATAAATTTTAAGCATTACAATATAATTATTTGTTTTTATAGATTTAATTTCACTGTTTTGATTATAAATACCAATGGGAATGAGGTGGGCTAATGTTGGGGGATGTAAATATAAAATGCTACCCTATTTAATGCATAGGGTAGCATTATATATATATATATATATATATATAGATTTGGAGAGGTCTGGTTATGTGGAGATTGATAAGAATAGCATCGCGATTAGGAGTGATCTTAATGAAGTTTCACTTTGAATTTGTGGTAGTGCGGTATTAATTCTTGGATATTTTGATTAGGTTCCTGATTGTTCTGTCAATTTAGCACTGAGATCGAGTCTTCAGTTTTATGCGAGTGAGGTAAGTAAATTATGGTAAAACCCTTCGATTTCAAAGCATGTTTTAAATTGTTTTTGAGATGGTGGCAAGGTTTAAATTGATTTTAAATTGATTTTATCAGCATCTGAGTGTGATTAAACTGAAATGAAAATTGTGATGATTTTTATGAAAATTATGATTTTCTGGAATTGAGCATGGTTGGAATGAAAATGAGAATTTCATTGTTTTTCTGGAGTAAAGCATGCCTACTTGAAATTTACTGGACTGCTCTGATGATTTGAAAAATCTTGTAAATTCTGAGTTTTTCTATTAAATCCATGCTCACATGGAAATTTTCCAATTTATTTCTGAAATTTGAGATTGATTGTGAATTATAGATTTTTCTGAAAATCCTGCATGGTTTTGTCTCGGATATAGTCATGATTACTGACGCCCGCCAGTGGGAGTTTGTAAATGCTAGCACATGTCTACATGTTTACTGATATGACCGGTTCATTATGTAATCCTGCCAATGGGATAATACATTGGTAATTATTGAC